AAGCTGCAAAAATATTTTTTGTTGTTTTTTTTTTGGTACCGGGGATCAAACTCGGGTCCTTGAGCTTACACAGCAGGCTGCGAAACCACTGAGCTAAATCCCCGGCCCCATTTTATACAAATCTTAAGTGCTTATAAGCACAGAACTGATAGTACCTATGATTTTGCTACCAGTAGAAACCAGATACCTTTATGTTTTGTGTTTTACTTCAGTTGACACATAGTAATCATACATATTTATGAGGCACAGTGTAATATTTCAAAACATGTATATAATGTGTAATGATCAGATCAGGGTAATTGGGAGTAATATTTATCTCCACTATTTCACAGTTGTAATTATTAGATCAACTGCTAGATCTTGTTGTATATATGTGTAAATAAAGAAGCACTTGTATTACTATAAAAATACAAAATTTATATTTGTAAAACCTGATAATTTCCATAAATTATTATTTGGAAAAAAAAAGAAAAAGTATCCTGTTCATCACTAAAATCTAGTCTCTAAAACAGCTACACTGTTTCTAAGTTTGATTTTCAAAGCTGCCTTGTTTCAATTAAAAGTACAGTGGTACCTCAGTTCACAAACACTTTTGTTTGAAGTTTGGTTCACAAATAGGTGCATTTGGCAGAATTTTGTTTTTGTTTGCAAACTCTGCATCACATGGCAAACAACCGTGGTCATCTTTCCCACACAAATACAAACGTGGCTATCTTTTCCAGAATCGTAGAAAAAATTAAGTTCATGATCCAAGGTACCTCCATCCTTGCTTACACATATGAGACACTGAACTTAGTGATATGATATACTTATCCTACATTTATATCTACAAATGTTTTAGTTTTTTCTGAAAATTAGCATGCCAAAATTATTCCTAGGTAACAGCAGGTCCCTTGCGTTGGGAATGTGATTTGGAGCCTAGCCCTCCTGTGCTCTTCTGTCTTAGGTTGTAGAGATGTACTCCAGTGGAGGAGACCTGCATCTGGAACTCCCAACAGGCCAACAAGGAGGGACCAGGAAACTGTGGGTGAGTGGAAACGGTTTTCTCTCGTGTGCTCACAGAGAACCAATCATTTTCTTAAATACAATAGAAAATCCTTAACTCTTTTTTGCTTGAAAAAATATGGGTAACTTTTCTTTAAGTAATGTCTTAATGCTAAATGTATACCAAATATATTCGAAAAATGAAAGGAGAGCGAGGGAAAAATAAAGTCATAATTCTTATAAAGAGCAGTGTACAAAATTGGTGGACACTTTAGCCCACTGTGTGGATGGGAAGCTGTGTTCAGCTGTTTTCTCAGAATTATATTGGAAAGTTGCATATTATGAATCTGGTCATAATATGCAAGAACTACCTTGTCAAAGGCTCCTGCCTTATGAGACTTCTCTTGCTGTCGTCATCTACCATGTGCTGGCTCATCCAAAAAGTCAGTGACCTTGGTACAAGGTACAAGATATTACTCCTTGTCTATAACTATAGACCCACTGGCTTATTTTCCAAATAAGTTCTGAGGATCAAAATATCTTTATTAATTGCTGTGTCACACACACACAACCTCTTGATTGTCTTCTGACCAGCCTGCACCAGAAAAGGAATGTTGTAGAGGTGACATTTGAAGGATGACAACTTGAACATTTAGAAACAAATGTGTAGCTGAGGCAGGAAGGTCACAAATTCAAACCAGTCATAGCAGTGACTTAGCAAGACCCTGTCTCAAAATAAAAAGGGCTAGCTGGGCATAGTAGGGTAGGCCTGTAATCCCACCACTCAGAAGGCTGAGGCAAGAGGACCACCATGAGTTCCAGGCCAGCCTGGGCTGCATAATAAGTTCAAGGCCTGTCTGAACTACATAGCAAGACCTTGTCTCAAAAAAATAAAAATAAAAAGGGCTAGGGATGTAACTCAGTACTAAAGGTGTGTGCAGAGAAATTCCTGTGGTTTGCAGGAAGCCAAATTCTGAAACTAGGAAAGCAGTGCACACATACTTCCTTTTTAAATTTTTCAATGAGTCTTCCTTCTAATATGTATATGAATGTTCTCTCATTACCAGACTGAAAATTGATGCTGTTTTTTTGTACCGTGAACATTAATAAATGCAGTTGGTAAACTGGATTTGTTTAGGAAGCTTTGTTATGTTTTGTTAGGCTTTAAATGAAAGGAAAGCTGAGTCTCAGCCCACTTGGTTATCATTTATAGAAATTCCTGTGCACCTCTAATGGTGACATTTCTGTCAGGCAGAGAATTTCAGGACTAAATTCCCATATTAAGCATCAAAAAAAATTACTGGTTTTGTAGATTAGTTCTCCCTTTTAGTGATGATTTTTTTTTTCAACCATTCTTATTTTTTGGAGACAGGGTCCTGCTGTGTAGTCCAGACTGGTTTTGAGCTCACTAGGTAGCTGGCCTTCAACATTCAGCTCTCTTCCTGCCTCAGGCTCCCAAGTGTTGGGATTACAGGCACGCACCACCATGCCCAGTTTATTTTCAAGTCATTTGACTTTTACTTTGCTTGCTTTACATACCATATTCCATCAGTTTTAAGAAGCAAATCTTTTCATATTTTAATTTTCTCCAGAATTGGAGCATGTATTATAATCTGTAGAACATATTTAATTGGCAATGTATTTTTTAATAGGTATGTAAAATAATCTGTCTTTCAGTTGATGTCATTTTAAGTCAATAAAACAAGGTAGTTTTGTGACATTACAAATGCTGTGCTACATTGTGGTCTGTTCACTTCTCAGGAAATTCCTCCTTATGAAACTAAAGGGGTGATGAGAGCCAGTTTTTCATCCAGAGAAGCAGATAATCACACAGCCTTCATAAGAATAAAGACAAATGCATCAGACAGCACAGAGTTTATCATTCTTCCTGTTGAAGTTGAAGTTACAACAGGTTAGTGGGAAATGGAAGATATTGCAAGTTTGTTTTGTTTCGTTTTGAGTACATCTTACTCTGGCAAAATGAAAGATAATTGTTTCCTTTTCTTTTTTTCCAAGCTCCAGGTATTTATTCCTCAACTGAAATGTTAGATTTTGGTACACTGCGAACACAAGGTAAGAAAAAAAAAGGCCTGTAAGTCTTTTTGAAAAATTTTTGTGAAAGGGATTCAGTGCTGAGTGAATCTACTGTGCTTTGTAATTCAGCTTTGAAAGTTATTTCTCAGTGGATTTCGTGATTGATCTTAGAGAAGTCACAGTGTTCACAGGTTTATACCCTATCCCCTGGCATGGTAGCGTTGCTGACCAGGTAGGAAAATAAGGTCAGGGCAAAATGCAATTATCTTGAATGGAAGACTAAGGCACTATAGTTCCTCAGTAGGAACTACTGTTTTAATCCACTTCCTCATCCATTCAGTTATGCTGAATATTTTTTTCTTATAGTTAAGGAACTCAAGATTTACTTTTGGGTTTTTGAATAGATATAAACTATTAAATTGCATTATAATGATACAGTGTTAAAAATTTATCCCAGATGGTCAGAGAAAGAATTTAAATTATAAAATTAAAAACCCAGGTGAAGATTTTTATTAAGGAAAAAGATTACTGTACTTGTAATTTGGGATTTACTTGAGGCATATGTAATTAACATTTAGTTATTTAGCATTGAAGACATTTTTTAAAATTGTATTTACTTTTAGTTTGATAATTTCATGTATATTATTAATTATGCTTTGAAGTGAAAGATTAGTAATGTCTGAGTTCACTAAATTATGTGGCTTTTTTTAGTCTTTGCTTCAGAGTAGGCAGTTCTTGAAGTACACACTGTCTTTATGAATAAAGTCATTCCTGTTTAATGTTTCTTTTATTAATGTGATTATCATATTTATTGGTTACATTTCATCTTCAGTTTGAAATCTAATAAGATAAATATTCTAACTTGCTAAGAAGGACACCTTTTTGAGAAACGTTTTTCTCCTCCATCTTAACAGATCTACCAAAAGTTTTAAATCTTCATTTATTAAATTCAGGAACAAAAGATGTACCAATAACAGTAAGTTTTTACTTATTTCCTTCCTAATTTGTATAGTCTTTATTTTAAAATTTATGACAGAGTTCAAAATAATTAAGCCCTTGCTCTAAAGAGTTGTATTGTGTGGTGACTGGGGTACTCTTTGGTTCTGAGTGTGACATGAGAAACCCAGTCCACCTCTCACCACCCAGGTTGTAAGGATCAGTAGAAGGTCTTCTCCCTGCCAGGTGTGAGCCAAAGTTCAGGCTCCTATTCAAGCTGAACCCAACAAGAGGCCCATAAACTGGATAAATCCTAGGATTTCTGTGCCATGTGGGGAAAAATTAAAAACATATTCTAAGGATTTCATTGGATTTGATTGTCAGGCTTAAGATATGGGTAAGTAAAAAGGGAGCGAAGGGCCCACCCACAGTAGAAACTGAGTTTTAAGAAAGCTTCTAAAAGTTTTCCCTGTTTGTTTCAGCACCATCTACATAATGTACTTCTTAGAGACTGATTTATTTTTAGAAGGGTTTGTACCTTCTTCCATTTCACAAGTACATAAAATATTTGGGATGGGATAGGCAATGCTAAATTTTGAGCTTTTTTTTTTAAATTCTCCTTCAGGTAATTCAGTCTCTTTCTAAATACTAGTCTTTCTAAATATAGTGTTATTAATGCAAGTGACTATAAATAAAGTTCCTCACCTGTTAATGGACAGGAGCCCCACATTCAAGCCCTCCTGCTGTAGTCTATAACATAATATTGAGAAAATGGTTTTCCTAAATATTTACAAAACAGAAATGCTATACATTTTGAAATAAGTTTGCCTGAAATATCTTAAGAGGAATGTTTCCATGAGGTTTTCTTACTAATTTATATATCAAAATCACAGATTTACTTACTAATTTTACCAGTGTTCCCTTGATATGTTTTAGTGAAATCGTTTATAAATTATTAAAAGTAAAATTGTTAAATACTAAACAGTTGTGTTCCATTTTTGCTCATGTGCTTCTATAAACATTTTCAAAAGGTCCTGGCCTGTTGATTCTCCCTTGAGAGTTACTGAGTATTAGTTGGGTCTAAATGGCATGAGAAAAGGCTGGAACTACAGTATGTTTAGGAATATGCAAACTGCTTTTCCTGGGACTCTTGCCATATTTTTCCATTTCTTGATTATCTTTGAATAAGCAATAGTCAGTGACTAATACTAAAAAAAGTTGTTAGTTGGGCCGGGGATTTAGCTCAGTGGTTCCACCACCTGCCTCGCAAGCGCAAGGATCCGAGTTTGATCCCTGGTACCAAAAAAAAAAAAAAGGTTGTTAGTATAAATATGTTTATCACAAGGTAATGATTTTGTATTTTCCTGTTAAGCCATCAAGGTGAATCAACTATTTAAGTGTTTTATTTTGCTTTTTGTTTGTTTTGACTTCCTTCAGAAATGGGTTTTAACAGATTTAGGTTTATCTTTAATGATAATGAGCAAACAGTTCAGTCCATTTGTATAAAACAGTATCAATTGAATATTTGTTTACTACTTAGTTCAGTATATATTATGACAAAAATAGTACAGAATATAAAATTTTCCTCTAGAATGGAATATTTTAAAGTATGTTTCATATGCAGAAAAACCTTTTTCTTTTTTTTCAACTATTCTGAGCTCTCCCTATTTACAGAGACTACATTTGAACAAAAACCATTTTAAAGGTGGTGTGATTGTTTGGTTTCTTGTTTTTGGTACTGGGGATCAAACTCAGGACCTCTCATTTGCCAAGCAGGCGCTGTGCCGCTAAGCTACATCCTCAGCTCCAGAAAGTGGTGTGATTGTTAATGATGAACCTCCACTTCCAGGAGTTACACGTGTTGGGAATGGCCAAGGTTCTATTGTTGCTGTTTCATAGCAGTAGAGTATGTGAAGGAATTTGGAGCCGTGTTTGTAAACGTCCTCTGCAAATTTCTAACCTTTATGAGATCATCTTTTTAACAAATTGTAACTTCAAGATAAAAGTGGCCAATTGAAAAAAATGGCAAAATTAATTGAATCTACCAAAACACCCCCAACCCTCATGTTTTCAACAGGTAGGGAAAATAAGCTTGAAAAGTAGGCAGTTACTCAGGCTCATACTTTTGTCACTATTGAATTGTCACATATGTTCTGTATGCTTTCTCTTTTCTTAAGTATTATAGTGATAGACTAGTGTAATGAAACTAAATGAAGGGCCAGGGATTTAGCTCAGTGGTTCTGCCGCCTGCCTAACAAGCGCCAGGTCCTGAGTTCAATCCCCAGTACAAAACAAAAAAATGAAACTTTCTCCAGATTGTAGTTTATCTTAAAGTTAGACTGCTTTGTTCTGTATTCTACCCCCCACCACCATCTGTCTCATACACACACACACACACACACACACACACATCCTTCACCCCCACCCCACCCCAGTGTGAGATTTCAAAGCAGATGAGAAGGCTTCCTCAGAAAGAAAAAGGAGGCAGGTAAGAGTTAAAATGCTAAGAGAGCCCTATGCCAGTCACTAAGGCCACAAGAATTCCAAGCACAGACAATTTCAGAGCCATGGGGTCTTCATTCCAGGCCCTTAAAGGCTTGCTAACAGCTGAGGATCAACTGCAATCTGCAATGCAAGGGAAAGGGAGCTACTCTGGCAGTGCCTGTAATCATGGTAACATAATCAGTCTCTTTCTTCACACTCTGCTCTGTGGTTATGGTGCCTTCAGGCGCCTGCCCTTTGATGTTCAGTTTAGGCAGATTTCTCTGGGAGAAGCTGATGACTTGTTGGAACTGACTGTCTCCTATTAACAGGCATGCTTGGTGGATGTCACAGAAAAGAGCAGTGTTCTTTCCTATAAGAAATGACAGGCTTCAGCAGCAGGTTAATAAAGCCCCTCAAAATTCAACAAATATTCCAGGAGGATTTTGAGACCAAGGTTAAGATTCAAAGTAAATTAGAAGTAAAATTCAAGGTACATCCCTAGCCCTAAAGGAAGATTCTTTAAAATCAAGATTTGTGTGCAACACTGTGATACTGTGAATATGTGTTTCTGCAATAGGAAGTCAGGTCAATGGCCTTGAACCAAGTGAGGAAACCTGGTTTCTAGTTCTGCCTCTTGCAGTCTATTTTTTTTTTTTTTTTTGTACCAGGGATCAAACTCGGGACTTTGTACTTTCAAGGCAGGCAGTGGCACCACTGAGCTAAATCCCTGGACCTCTTGGTGCCTAATTATTGAAACATCAGTGGCTAGCATGAAGTTCTCTTCATCAATAAAACAGAGAAGGGGGCTACGATCTTTAATATCCCTTCAAATTAAAATGAACAGGGTCAGGATAACCAAAATAACTGTACCTTAAAATGTCTTTTTTGAAGCATGCTCTAAAAATATAAGCTTTTACTGCTTTTTGTTATTTTAGAATTATTTGAGCAGAAAGATTTGACTTTCTAAGCCTAAAGCATTCCAACCTCTTCCAGTCAGATGTCCCTGTCATCTGCCTCACTGCCCCTCATCCCAGCACAACCACACCCTGGAGAAGAAGAAAAAATGCTGCAAGAGGTGGAGTCTGCAGAACCACGCCCCCCCCCAGGCCACACTTAAGTCTTTGCCTTCAGAGTCTGATGTTAAATTTAGTGCTGTAGGTTTCTTTAAGAGGGACCTGTCATGGTCATCTTCATGTCACCTTCTGTGATACACAAAGGAGACATTCATTTGGGAAATAAATACCTTTTTGAATGTGTTATGTACTCATACCCAGTGTGAGGGTTTAGATTTGTACACTTCCTCATCTGTCATGTTTCTCATGTGGTCATCATTTTATTTTCCAAAGGGATTCTAATGAGCTTAATGTAAAGTTTTACTAGCCTATTCCATTTTAAGGGACCACAGAAGTTAAACTTTAAATTTTCATTCTTCTTTATTTTTCTAGTATACTTTCTAGTGTAAAGCAAATAGTCTATTAGACCAAAATAATGGTGTACATATACATATTTTTTCTTTGCAGAGTGTTCGACCAACACCACAAAATGATGCTATAACGGTACACTTTAAACCAGTCACATTAAAAGCTTCTGAAAGTAAATACACCAAGGTTGCGAGCATTAGTTTTGATGGTAAGTATTTGCTTTTTTTTCTCTCTAATGGAATGATGTTACCCTGATAAACTAGAAAACATCTATGATGACATGTTCATACAGAAATCCATACCATTGTACAGTCAGATTTTAAATTACTGTGTAGGTTTTTTCCATAAGCCATCATGAACCCTTGATTGATTCATGAAAGAAAATACCATAACTTTATGAAGTTCATAAAGCTAAATCAGTATTAACAATAGGTAAACATTAGCAAATACATTGGAATTGGAATATATCTGTAATCTGGGCTAACCAGTTACATCTATTGTAATTTGCTTTAATTGTGCAGTCATTAATTTTTTGTAATTAAGTGATAATATATTTAAATTTCAGAAGCATGTTTAAGCGTGAGAGCAAAAGTAAGGTATTCTTTCTAGCATTTTTACGTATTGGCTTTTGTAAGCAAAGCAGCAGCCCTGCATAACTAAAATAATAGCTTTGTGATAGAACTGTCAAATCATTATTTCAAACATGTGTAATGTATATTTTGTCACTTGAAATGTTAACATGGACTTTAAAATTTTTACAGCATGTTTTTATTCAGTTTTGCCTGATTTAATAGGTATTTATTACATTTACTGTCACAAAAATTTTAAATTGTCACTTAGTAGCTCTTTAACTGTGTATGTGATTGCATTTAAAAACACACTCTGCAGAAGACTGTGCACCTGAGGAGCTGGAAAGCAGAAACTGGCCTCTGGTGAAGCCCCTCTGCTGGAGCCCATGTGCGCAGCCCCACCCCATCAGTGGGCAACTCCAGGGACCAGCAGCTGCACCCTAGGCAGTGTGTGAAAGCCCTAGGGACATCCAGGAAGGATTAGATGGAAGACACAGGCTGCCCACATGCAGGCCTTAGAATCCATGCCCTGAACCAAGTGGGAAGCCTGAGGCACCAGGATTAAATAGGCAGTGTGCTCGCACAATGCAAATGTAGGAAGTGGGAAGTTGTGCCAGGGGAGGTTCTGTTGTCACAGTTCCCATCCAAGTCTTCGGTGAGTGGTCGGTGCTGCCGAGAGACCATGCCAGGCAGGGACCTACTCTTCTCCAGCAGAGGAGAGCAGCCAGCAGTGATTCCTGAGCTCTGAGGATACCTAGGCCACCCTCTGGTTTCCCAGGGTACCAAGTTAGGCCTCACATTTCCCCTTACTCTACATGGGCTAAGAGCTCCTCCTCTCCAGCTGCTATTGACACCATAGCAGATGTCTCCATTGAGATATAGGCAGCACCACTAAACAAGCATTCTACCACCAAGCTATACTCCCTGGCCCTAAAACAAGTGCTTCTTAAAGAAATTATGTAAAACTAAATGCAAAGACAAAAGGAAAGCATCTTTAAAAGCAAATGTTACAGTGCCAGGGATTTAGCTCAGTGGTTCTGCCGCCTGCCTCACAAGTGCAAGGTCCTGAGTTTGATCCTTAGTACCAAAAAAAAAAAAAAAGCAAATGTTACATCCCTGGCCCTTTCTTTATTTTTTTTTATTTTGAGATTAGATCTCGCTAAAATGCTTAATTGCCCTGGCTAGCCTTGAACTTTTGGTCCTTCTGCCTCAGTGTCCCAGAGAAATGTTACATTTCTTAAAAGTAGTTTTTAATATTGAGAGGAAATACTTTCATCTTCCACCTCACTTCCTGCCACCCAGGTCCTAACACAAAACTCCTCTCTGATTGCTAAGACGCAGGAAGTATGTTCTGTATTTAACTTAATGTTTCCAGAATGTGCCACAAGTATTAATTCTACAGTACTCACTTATCAACCAACTATCTTTCTCATCAAAAATCACTCCTTTATGATTATTAACTGACTTTTCTTGAGATTTTTGACTACTTCATTTGCTAAATTAGTACATATAACATGGTACCTTGAAATGCCTAAATTATGGTCCTCATAATCACCCTTACATCAAAATAATGAAAAATTAAAACCACCCAGAGATGGTTAACTAGCAAGCAGAAAGAAATAAGAGGCTTAATGGCAATTTTTAAAATCTAAGGTTGCCATCTGTACATTGCTGAACTCACATAAAAATTCTTCTCACACATGGAAGTGAGTCAGGAATACTTTAAAGGAGATAAAGTTGAACAGCTTCTTTACTTGCTTTGAAAGGGCCATCTCATGGGTACCCAGATTGAATCCATTGACTCAATTTCTGTAATTCCAGGTGGAATTAGTCAGAACTACTACAAAATCTAGAGGTTTCACCTCCTCACAGAGGACAGTAAAATAACTGGACCTGCTGTGATATAGGAGAGGCTTTGTCTCCTCCTGCTTCTCTTCAGGTTGGCTAAATGTGAGAAGTCAGAGCTCCTTACTTCTGCCCATACTACTTTGTCCATACTGTTGCAAGACTGGCCATACAAGGAATCTTATTTCTTTCTCAGTACGGCTATGAGCCAGTGGTATTCAGTAGGGAGCAGTTTTGCCTCCCAGGAGACATTTGGCAATAACAGACATTTTTGGAGCAGTGTTACTTCTGGAGCAATGTTATGACATCTAGCAACTAGAGTCCCCAGTGAAGTTAGACACCCTGCAGTGCACAGGACAGCCCCTACAACAGAGAATTAATCTGGCCTAAATGCTCATAGTGCCATAGTTGAGAAGCCCTGCTGTTACAAAGCCAGTGCTTGTAGTTACCAAGAAGCAGCTTTAGATAGTGTTTTTCCTTTTGGCTTGTGTTCACTTGCTAGTTTTGTATCAGTTTATCTCATTATAGGAAAAACAAAACATTTCTCCTGTTTTGTATGAAAAAATGATATTTTGATTTAAAATGTAATAAAAGTGCTCTGTTGGCTAATTTGAAAACTTCTGTTTTTTAAAAAATAAAATTTTGTCAGTCCACAGAAAATCATTCGTACTCTTTGGTAGTTAAAAAATAAAATAAAATAAATTTTTAATGCTTCCTTTTAGCCTCAAGGGCAAAAAAACCATCTCAGTTTTCTGGGAAAATAACTGTTAAAGCAAAGGAAAAGAGTTATTCTAAACTCGAAATACCATATCAAGCAGAAGTTTTAGATGGGTGAGTTTCTTCTTAAAATAAGCTTTATAACTTTTTGCTAATTAGTTAATTTTGCTTTCCTGCTGTTAACACATTGCAAAAACCATACCCAAATTCATCCCAGTGGGATTGTTGTTATAAAGAACAATCTCAATCATAAAAGAGAACCTCTTATATTTCATTTATTTCCTACCTTCTTAGAAGAAAAAGGTAAATAAGGTAGTAGAAGTTTTGCTTAAATGAAGATTTTAATGATTCAAAAGCAAATCTGATTTTTAATATTTCAATCATTAGAACTATATTCTGTCATTCTTTTGGTAACATGCAAGTGAATGTGACTTGGTACTATTTTGTGACTTGAAACAAAATCATTTATATTCTATAAACTCATAAACACTTCAAGAATTATAATTTTTATCAATGGGCAGTAACACATGTAATTTGCTCTCTAATTCCACTCTCTAACCAATAAACATTTAACATACAACTTGATAGTTATTTATTTTAACGAAGCTGGTTGCAGTTTTAATGATAAACTTGATTTTTCAAAGTAGACTGAGCCCCTTCCTGTTAATACAACCTTGATTCTAATTATTTGATTATGTATAATTCATTAGAGAGTACTGTAATTCTTTGCGTTCCTTATATATCTAAATTTATTTTAAATCATGTGGTTAATGATTAAAATATAATAGTTCTAGTTCTGTAATACAGTCCTTAATGATAAATGTAAATTATTACAAAGAACTTGGGTTTTAAATAAGCACATAGAAATAAAAATTATTTGTTTTTTTTTTCTTCAAATAGTTATTTGGGATTTGATCATGCTGCAACTTTATTTCACATCCGAGACAGTCCTGCTGATCCTGTGGAAAGGCCAATTTACCTAACTAACACTTTCAGTTTTGCAATCCTCATTCATGATGTGTTACTACCACAAGAAGCCAAAGCAATGTTTAAAGTATGTCTGGGAACCCTCCTGATTTTTAGTTTGCTGTTCTACCAACTAGATGATATTGACACTTTATGTTTTTCTCTCCTTCCATTTCCTAGGTTCACAACTTCAGCAAACCAGTCTTAATTCTTCCTAATGAATCAGGATACATTTTTACTCTGCTTTTTATGCCGTCTACATCATCCATGCACATAGATAATAACATTTTACTTATTACCAATGCTTCCAAATTCCATTTACCTGTACGGGTATATACAGGGTTTTTAGATGTAAGTATGTTATCCACATTTAAAATGTAAACTCCCTGCCTATTTTTTGTTTTTTCAGGTATTATTAGGCAGTTGTGTTTCATACTCTAAAGTTTTGCTGTTATATGTGCCCTATGCATTGATGTACTTTCAAGATGCAATGCCCACCCTACCCATCCCCTGTGGTACCTAAAACCAGAGATAGTACTGAGTCTTACATAGTCATACTTCTGTGTTCCAAGAAAATTGATTCCAGAGTCCTCTGTGGACACAAACTCCATGCGTGCACAAGCCCCTTATATAAAATGGCAAAATATTTGTATATAACCTCCAAAAACTACAGATGTGGAACCCACAGATTTGGAAGACCTTTACTATATATACATACCAATGATTAAGTTTAATTTATAAATTAGGCCCAGTAAGATATAGAATTACACAAATGATAATAATATAGAATAATTATAACTATGCTGAAATTGAAATTATTATTTTCACCTTTTCAATTAAAGCACTTTCTAGCTTCTCTCTGGCTTATTTGAATTGCTGGCATCGATATTTGGCACTATTACCTTCCACTTTGAGGCCATTATTAAGTAAAATAAGTGTTGGGCTGGGGATTTACCTCAGTAGTTTTGCCACCTGCCCTGCAAGTGCAAGTACCCAAGTCCAATCCCTGGTACCAAAAAAAAAGTAAAATAAGGGTTACTTCAACACAGGAACTGTGATACCAGAGCAGTAGATCTGCAGCAGCTATTAGAGACTGGTGGGTAGGGTAGGACATACAGCATGAGTACACTGGACAGAGGCATCCTTCACATCCTAGATGGACCCCAGAGCTAGGAAAGAAGAAAATAACATGGTAAACACACACAGGGAAGGAAATAGCACAGAAGGAAAGAATAAAGTTCATCTTGGTATAGAAAATAAACCAGAAAAAAATCCATAGGAAACTGTTTTGAGAGGGGATAATGAAAGAAGTTGAATAAGAGAGAAAACTGTTAGGAAAGATAAAAAGGAAAATAGGACATATAGAAATGTCTTCCAAAGTCAACCTCAGTTAGTATTGTAGAGTTGAAGAAGAGACCTCCAGTATTGTCCCACTCCTTCATTTATTTTGTTCAAATGATTCCTTATTTGTATTCGTCTGGTGTCTACTGAGATCATAGATTCTTTGCCTTAATCCCCAAGAGTTCCACTTAACCTCTCCTTAACTTTTGTCTTCCTTTCTTTATATGCTTGCTTTTTTTTTTTTTTTTTTGGTACCAGGGATTGAACTCAAGACCTTTCACTTACGAAGCAGGAGGCGGAATCACTGAGCTAAATCCCCAGTACCTCTTTTTTTTTTTGTATTAAATTCTTTTATTGGTATATTGTAGGTATACAACACAATTACATTTCTCATTGGGAATTGTACCTTTATGTAATGCATCTTGGTTCTTATTTTTCCCCCATTCCTAGCCCTCCTTTCAACCCCTCCACCCTTCCCTATTTACAAAGAGTTTAT